CCCCAAAACCCCAAAACCCCAAAACCCCAAAACCCCTTTATTGGCCATAAATATTGAATATAATTAATGGCTGAGAAAAATTCAAATGCCATCTCTGAAAGGACTGGGTGGAAGACAGCATGATCAGGGTTTGCTGGAAGCATTTCAGCGTTCATTTTCCATCCTCTAGAAAACTTGAAGCTTCGTCTTCAGGCGAATGATGGGATGAGTAATAATCACCTCCCTCATTACAGGGGGTTAGTAAATACAGCTAAAATAATGTACCAGACAGAAGGGATGGTTTCGTTCTTTAGGGGTGTTTTTGTCAACTTCCTCGGAAACTCCTCTGCAAATTTTATATTTTTCTACATGTATGCTGTAGAGAAGCGAAGATGGAACTATGACAGAGAAACATCTCCTTCTTGGGTACCAGCAATAATCTCTTTAGAATCAGGAGTTGTTGCTTGCCTTATTACTAATCCTATATGGACAGTTAAGACAAGGCTAGGGTTGCACCTGAACACTCAGGGTAAAGCCCTTAGTGGCTTTGGGTTGACCAGAAAGATTGTGACTGACATGTGGTCAAAAGAAGGTCCGACTAGTTTCTACAGAGGCTTTCCAGCAGCTTGATTACTCAGCATTTACGGTGTAATTCAGATGACGTGATATGAAAACTTAAAGTAAGTTTTACAGGATTAAGTAATCTAGCAAATTGTTTGGGTATAAAGAATCAGAGAAATCATATAAGAAAATATCACCCTTCTTTATTGGTGGCATCAGTAAATGTCTAGCGTCAACACTTTTGCATCCCTTGACTTTAGTCAAGACTAGGCAGCAGAAACAGAGGTTTAGCACAAAGGAAGCGCAGAGAATTATTGACAAAAATTTGAGTGTAAATTCGTGTTGCAAATTTGGGATTTCTGGCTAAAAATATTTTGTGATTCAGGTTTGATCATGCTCTCTAGGAAGAAGTAACAAAAGCAGCTAAAAATGCAGATGTATATTATGTAACAATCCATGATAGTGCAAAGTCTATTTTCAGAAACGAAGGAATGAGAGGTAATTCTTGCGTTTATCTTTAGGTTTCTATAAAGGTCTTTCTCCAAATTTAATAAGAATCTTCCCTTCTAGTGGAGTATTTTTCATGATTTATGAAGCAATGTTAAAATTTTTAGAGTAATTTCAGCAGTATCTAAAATTGAAGGGGTTTTGGGGTTTTGGGGTTTTGGGGTTTTGGGG